GAGAAAAAAATTTACCGAATCTTAATATTATATATTTTTTCCAATAGTACTAACTAAATATTTACTTACAGTAAATAAATATTTATTCAATAAAAAAATAATGGTTAAATCGAATTAATAGTTCTTCTGTATCAAGTATAAATATATTTTAGTTTGCATTTAGTAAATATTTAGTCAGTATATTCAAATAAATATTCATTAAAATTTAGTACATTTTTTCAGTGTAAGCATTTAAATTGATATACTTAAGACTGTCGAAATGTTATTTAAAACATTTTTTTAAATCGATCTATAAACTTCTAAAAAAAGAATGTTTATAGTTTAGGAATTTTAGGAATAATATTAAATATGTCTAAGTTAATTCTTGCCTTGAATTATTACTTGTTAGTCTAAATTAATAAAAAAAAAATAAAGATATAAAAATTGAAAAATTAAATTAATTGCAAAATAATATATATATATAAAAAATAATGTAAAAATAAAAAATCTGTCTTTGACGATAAATATGCCACTAATTTTACTAAAAGTCAGGCTTCATAATTATAACATCTAATGATATGACTACATGCTACAGATCAAGAGATATAATAATAATAATATTATAAAATACACACAACACAATATAGTATTGTGCGATCTCTTTCCTTCAAAAAATACAGAATAGTCGCGACAAAATTCTGAGAAGGGATTGTACGTTTTTATTATACCTCTACATATGTATCAGACTATCTCACTGATGATGACGCATAAAACGGTGGCTGCTTATAAAAATATAGACTATTGTATCATTAAAAAAAAAATGCTTATTAGCAATATTCTGTCGAAGTATTCTCTGCTTGCAGGAGGAAGAACAGAATGATACTAAAAAAAAGCGTAGCAAATATACGATTATATAAAAAGATTCGATAATAGGAAGAAATATATAACACTGGCAGACCAAGGCTCAAACCACTTGAATACGAGATAATTCAGAATTATTGCATATAGTTAAGAAGATATTACATTGTGGCATAATAATAACGGCATAATATTTAATAACGAATTCTTTCAAAATATATTAACTTGTTTTAATATATACAATAATTAGATTACTATTTCCAATATTGCACTAAAAATATTCTAATTTTTTAAATGTAATAAAAAATTTACATAAATCTATTAATAAATTATATTTAATAAATTTATTTAAGTATATTATAATCTATATAAATATATCATCTCTTTATATGATAAATTTATGAGATTTATAAATATGTATTTATATAAATTTTGAATATAATTGCATAACATTATATGGCTTTAATACCGTAATCAATATTGTAATTATAAATCACACATTAATTAACATAAATAGAGTAATTCTGAATTATCTAGTATAGAACATTGCATGTATATCTAATATATCGTGCGTTTTCGCACGCAGATACGATTCAATTCCCAGCATCCGTTGAAGACGTCTTGTTGCCATTGGGCACGGTATAAAACTCGCTCAATAACTTCATATGCCTGCCGTTCAGGTGAGTGTTCAGGCTTGACTTGTGTTTCGTTCTGTAAGGGCACAAGGGGCAGTGGAATTTGGGCTCCACGCCGCACTCGTGCTTCAGATGCCTAGCCAGGCTGGAGTAGTAGCTGTAGACTTTGCCGCAGTTCCTGCAGGGATATGTCACCCTCTGGCAATTCAGATAACCCACCGAGCGTGCATCTAGAAAATAAAAGAACACAGGAATACCCGATTAGAGAGTATTGTTCATGAACGCGGCTGCGACTCTTCCTCGCAAGTTCGTGCATAACGTGCGGATAGAGAAGAGAAGACTCATCGACGATGTTTAGGATCTAGCTGGGTTTACTCGTTTATGTCTCGTAGTTTAGACTGTCCCAAAGGAAATACATGTCGCGTTAAACAAAAAGACCACCATATTTGTACTTTCACAAGCGTATTTGAATGAAGATACATTTCATGCTAAATTCACAAATCGCGAATTTTTCATGAACATTATTTTTCAGTTACATCACAGTCAGTTTCGTCGAATAACTTGTATGTACAGTGAAGGAAAATTAAAAAAGATTAACATAAAGTCTTGCAGAAGAACGATGTATTTAGAGCAATGTATAAACATCTTAATAATTAGTAAACGCGATAAATAAGTTGACTTTGACATTTAGATCACATTTATAATCATTGTCTTGAATAAACAAGAATGACGGGTCTGAGAATGACACATCGAGTCATTCTAAATATTATTCAAAACCAAAAAATTATTGAAAAATATTTGAAAATCTTGAATATGTCAAAAGTCACTTGAATATCTTGAATATCTTGAAAAATATACTGATTTCGATAGAATAGAAAATATATTATATTTATGTATATTACATTATATATATATTTTTTATATATATATTATGTAAAAGTTATATAATATATTTTTATTTTTATAAAAATTGTTAGACTATTTTTACATTATCTCATGATCTCACTAAAATATAGATAATAATTTTACTTTTCAGAATTTTTAACATATTTTGAATATTTAAACATTCTTCAAGATTTTCTAGACATTCGAAACATTCTAGATTTTTCAAGAACGTCAAAAATTTCTGGTTTTAAATAACATTTCTCAAAATAATTCGAATGTTCGTACAACAGAATTATTTGAAAACTTTTAAAAGAAAAGTTCATAATATTCATTATTAGTTTCAAATATCGATTAAGACTGAAAGATACAAGTTGTTGTATTTTTCAGATATTGAATAATTCCGTCAAACTATATAAATAGTTCCGTCAACTATTTTATATATTTCGTGAACATCGCCATCAAATAGTTTTGACTTTGAAAAATACGAATTGTCATAACAGTTAAGATTGAACATTCATCATTATATACAAATTTAATTGATGTTAATCAGAATCAGAAGACGAGAACAGGAATTTTAAGCGATAAAATTGCAAAGCCAGAGGAACAGTGTGACATTTAATATGATTAAGAAGTTTGCTCTTCAATCCTGTTTGGTAAGGGCAATATCCGCACATGAATTCGGGTGGCATTCGGCAACTCTCTTTGCATCTCTTTATGTGTTGATATAGAACCCGCTGGTTTTTAATCTTTTTATTGCATAATGGACATTTGCGTGGCAACAATGGGTGGCACTTTTCTGCAACAAATACATCCATAATAATTAATAAAAATCTTTACTAATCAATTTGCACATATTCTCGAATAATTGTTAAAATTATCATTAAACTCTTTCTTAATGAATCAATAGTTAATGGATAATCTGTTTAAATTGGATAAAACTGGTATACCTAAATATAATTTAATGTAACAGTTAATTATTAATAACTTTAAAAGTAATCATCTTGAAATGAATTGCAATTATTAAAAAATAATATAATAAAAATGAGAAAGAGTTATTTTGAAATTGTTAAAACATTGATCATCAAGAAGTAGAAAAAAAATTAGATAAGATAAACAATAAGATTGAAAGACCGCTAATGTTAAACATAATAATTTTAAATTAAGAAGCGCCATAACGGTCAGAACGTTAAGATGTTGAACTATTGTAAATTCATTTAAAATGAATTAATTTCAGAAAATGATAATTGCGTGCCGATATGGTTGTCGGACTTTCAACGCAATCAAATCTGAAAATATTAATAATCCCCCCAAATTCCCCAACTTAAAAACTGTAATAAAACTTATTGCGAAAAATAATGCCTCGGCCGGGAGTCGAACCGGATCTCTTGCATTCCGTGCGAGCGTTCTAAGCCTTTAGACTACCGAGACAGATAAGATAATTTTTCTGTATTAATATTTTCTATATATATTTATTTCCCAATGTGTTTATTTATTTTTATCTGTATATTAATTATCGTATTATAACAATTACCATTTTTATTAAAATTTTTATTTTTTATAATCTTCCATTTAATAACATATTATACTAAATAAACAAAACACAAGTATATACAAGGACAAAACAGTAAACATAAAAACAAAATTCCAATTTTTATTAATGTTTTTCCATATGCTAGTGTAATTTCATTCGATTTATCATGAACAATCATAAACAACGTCAAAATGGAAAATGCAATAATTACAAAATTATATATATTAAGGATAATTCTATACATATTTTCAAAATG